GTAAGGTACTTAATCTGTTGCAATTAAAGTCTTTCGCTTTCTAATAAGATACTTTTGAAATATTTTATCGTTTAGCTAAATATATGATACATTTATTTTTTAAATTATAATGTGCATGATTAATATTTTCAATAAGAATTAATCCTTACAATACAAGGTACAATTTGATGACTTATCCGTCCAAACTTGAATCACCAGAATCCGTCTGTCTTTTTAACTTATTCAGAAAGTCTGGAAAATCTCGAAAAGTTTATCAACAATTTTAAAAACAGAGTTACTTTTGCCTACATGTATTACTGCCTACAGTTCGATTGCCTACATATATTATTGCCTACAGCTCTATTGCCTACATGTTTTATTACTTATAGCTCGATTGCCTAGAAGCACTTTTGCGCACAATTATAAAATTAAAGTTAAGAAAATAATTTGTGTTGGTAAATATTAACAACAACGGGAGCAGTTCTGTTAAGAATGAATGTTCATAATGATACTCTCAAATACTAAAACATGTGCAATAGTATAAAGGAAGAGAATAGAGCGAGAATCGCTTCGCGTGGAAAGTCGAAAATGTGCAACAATTATGAAAATTGTGCTCCTCTTTGCAGAGGGAAGGTGAGGTGAGAGTTGTTTCGAGTAGAAACAGGGAAAATATCATCTGTATCTCGTCTACACGTGATACAGATTACTAAAACTATTTATTGAAAAAATAATGGATTTCTTTTTACTATACCTAATATATAAATAAGTATTTTATTGTATATTATACAATTTTAATTTTCATATTAAACAAAAGTATTTTATTGTAAATAGAATGTACAATAATAATATAAAAAGGAAAGGTTGTTAAATAAATCTGATTTTTAGAGTCATAAATATTCTAAACTGTAAAAAATATGTCACATCGTATTATAATATATAATATTAGTGTTTATCTTATAGTGTATTTTTTATTCAATAATAAAATTTTTAAGGATTACCGCTTTTTCTAAATATATACAATAAATTTATGTATAAAATCAAAAGAAAAATTAACATGATTTCAAATTAAATTTTTTTATATTTTTATTATAATATATGTTATTATAACGTTATATCTTCGATTATTATTAACTAACATTTTAAATCGCCATAAATGAAAAGATTACAGTAATATGAAAAATCTATTGTCCTTTCTGATACATTTTGCATTATTTAAATCGCTATAAATTGGAATTTAATATTTTGTTTATTATGCGAATTATTGAAGTATTGAAGTTGATTATTGAAAAAATATTAACATGCTTGAAGTACAATGAAATACTTTTTTATATAAATTTTTTTATATAAATTTTTTATATTAATTTTAAGCTAAATTGCTTAATTTAATTTAAATGCATTGCAGAACGAAATATCATTGTCGGATACAAAAAAACACGTAATTTATACTTTTCTGGAAGAGAGGTGGTTAAGCGGTCGATTTATTGATTATAGCAGTAATGCAACAGATGTTTATTTTCCATAAAAAAATACATATTTCATTAGAGAGAATCGTGCGATAATAGACTTTGCAGATGCGGTACGACCTCTTCTAACATATATGTATATATTTCAATGTTGTGACTTAATATAATGTCAATCTTTAATTTTATATTTCTTTATAAATATTTTATGTGTCAATTTTTTTATTTAAATAATAATTTTTACTTCTTGTCAAAACGATACTTACAGGTAACTACAGCTAAAACTGTGGGCTAGACGATTTCGATTGAATTAGTTTACGTTTTTCTTTCTTTCCCTCTCTTACTTTCTTATATCTCTTTCACTTTTATACAAACTTATCTTAATTTACAATTATTATTTCGTACTTTTAGAATAGAAAACATTGAAGTAAGATATTGAAGTACTCATTAACTATAAGGAAACATATCTTCTTTCGTGTCATTCTGTAAAGAATTATATTGAATCTGTGTGGAAAATGTCTGTTAAAATAATGGAAGGACAATATATTTATTTAAATTATTGATTTATTCGGATTAATCATTATTATATTTTCAAATAAAGAAAGTTAATCTATTGTATAATTTTTTTTTATCAAAAAGCATAACAATGTATTTGTTATTGTTATTACTAAATTTTCACTTATTTACATATATATATATAAATATATGAAAATAAATTTTGTAATTTATAAATTATAATATTGAATTAAATGTCACATTTTCTTTACTTTCTAAATCTTTTTTCTGTTTATTAAAATTCCAAAGTTCTGTAGATGAATTTATAATAATTATTTTGCTCATTTTTAATAATATGTATCAGACATTAACATATAATGATATTTTTATATTAAAGTTTTTTTATTGTAATTATTTCTACTGTTAAATGTTGTTCCGATAATTGCGGAACACCATAATTATGATATAATTATTATACATATACATATATAATTATTTTTGTAATATAAGTTACAATATTAAATTATATAATAACAGAAGATATTCTATAAATTATAATATAATGTATTATATTAGGTGTTGGAATTAATTCGTAGCGTTTTTAATGAAAGAATGTTATTTATTTCACATGAGCATTAAAAAATACATTAATGAAAGTACTTCCCATCACTTGTAAAACGCTACGAATTAATTCCAACACCTAATAATATAATGTATTGTACAGGTATTTTCAAACTAGTAATATTTAAGACGGAAGATATTGTCTTACTTGAAATAAAATTGCAGTTGTAAGAATACTCAGGAAAAAAATAAAGCGAAATCGAACAAATTTTGAAGATAAGGCCACAAACCTACAGTAAGTAGAAGACTTTTATTAAGACCAAAGTATCAACATAAATCATTTCTCTACGATTTTCAAAATATGACTAACATTAAGATATCGAAGAAATACTTATTTCTTTCTTCTGCATTCATCGATCAGATATTATATGACGTTCTCACTTCTGATATAAATTTTCACGCAATTTTTGTAATGTCGTTTATATGCAAGATTGCTGTTATGGGATCAAACACACTCGCATTTTAATATTATTTCTCATGAAATCTATTATTACACGATCAATTTAATATACTAATAAAATTCAGCAGATGTTCTATTTCGCATAAAAAAGAATTACTTGTGAGAGAATTATTTCCACGAAAAAAGTTGCGCAAGCATATTCAGCACTTAAAATTTTTACACTCGTAATTTCTTATTTACTTAAAAGAAAATGTCTTAACAAATACATCTTTAACAGAAAGAATCGAATAAAGAAATAATACCGAGAGAGAGAGAGAGAGGGAGGGAGAGGGAGAGGGAGAGGGTGAGGGAGAGTTAGAGGGAGAGTGAGTTTGTAACACAATTTTATTTTAATGTTTAGATCTCAATATGATTCTAATACCTTGCGAACATAATGTGCGTTAACGTCTCTAATTAAATTATTTTAGACAATAAGTTTTACTGGACTGTACATTTGAAATTTTATTTGAAATATTTCGTGTTTTTTTGGTTATATTTAAAATGCTTTATGTTTTCTAAATTATAGGTTTATAATAAACATATATACCTAAATCGGAGAGACTTCAATTTCTAAAAACGTGAAGTAATGATATCAAAAATTTTTATATTAATTTTTTATTATTTACATTCATCAAGTTCTCAATTAATCTGGTTTTACATTTGCTTGCTATTGTGTAGAATATATAACAGTAAAGTATGACACTGAAGCCTTCATCAGCTATAACAAATGATATTATTAGAGTTTATATATGTATACATATATATATATATAAT